TGTAATTATTAGGAATATTGAACACCTAAATATTATGTAATTATTAGAAATATTGAACACGTAAATATCATGTAATTATCAGGAATATTGAACAAGTAAATATCATGTAATTATTTTGAATATTGAACACGTAAATATCATGTAATTATCAGGAATATTGAACACGTAAATATCATTAATTATTGGGAATATTGAACAAGTAAATATCATGTAATTATTTTGAATATTGAACACGTAAATATCATGTAATTATCAGGAATATTGAACAAGTAAATATCATTAATTATTGGGAATATTGAACACGTAAATATCATGTTATTATCGGGAATATTAAACACGTAAATATCATGTAATTATTAGGAATATTGAACAGGTAAATATTATGTAATTATTGGGATTATTGAACAAGTAAATATCATGTAATAATTAGGAATATTGAACACGTAAATATCATGTAATTATTGGGAATATTGAACACGTAAATATCATGTAATAATTAGAAATATTGAACATGTAAATATCATGTAATTATTAGGAATATTGAACAAGTAAATATCATGTAATTATTAGGAATATTGAACAAGTAAATATCATGTAATTATTGGGAATACTGAACACGTAAATATCATGTAATTATTGGGAACATTGAACACGTAAATATCATGTAATTATTGGGAACATTGAACACGTAAATATCATTAATTATCGGGAATATTGAACACGTAAATATCATTAATTATCGGGAATATTAAACACGTAAATATCATGTAATTATTAGGAATATTGAACACGTAAATAACATGTAATTATTAGGAATATTGAACACGTAAATATCATGTAATTATCGGGAATATTGAACACGTAAATATCATGTAATTATTGGGAATATTGAGCACGTAAATATCATTAATTATCGGGAATATTGAACACGTAAATATCATGTTATTATCGGGAATATTAAACACGTAAATATCATTTAATTATTAGGAATATTGAACAAGTAAATATCATGTAATTATTAGGAATATTGAACAAGTAAATATCATGTAATTATTAGGAATATTGAACACGTAAATATCATGTAATTATTGGGAATATTAAACACGCAAATATCATGTAATTATTGGGAATATTGAACACGTAAATATTATGTAATTATTGGAAATAGTGAACACGTAAATATCATGTAATTATTGGGAATATTAAACACGCAAATATCATGTAATTATTGGGAATATTGAACACGTAAATATCATGTAATTATTAGGAGTATTGAACACGTAAATATTATGTAATTATCGGGAATATTGAACACGTAAATATCATGTAATTATTGGGATTATTGAACACGTAAATATTATGTTATTATTAGGAATATTGAACACGTAAATATCATGTTATTATCGGGAATATTAAACACGCAAATATCATGTAATTATTGGGAATATTGAACACGTAAATATCATGTAATTATTGGGAATATTAAACACGTAAATATCATGTAATTATTAGGAATATTGAACACGTAAATGTTATATAATTATCGGGAATATTGAACACGTAAATATCATGTAATTATTGGGATTATTGAACACGTAAATATTATATTTATTATTAGGAATATTGAACGCGTAAATATCATGTAATTATTGGGAATATTGAACACGTAAATATCCCTAATTATCGGGAATATTGAACAAGTAAATATCATGTAATTATTGGGAATATTGAACACGTAAATATCATGTAATAATTAGGAATATTGAACAAGTAAATATCATTTTGAACATGTGACAGAATTGTCTTTAGTAAAAGGAATTGAGTCTGCCACAAACTCTGATTTTCTAATCCCTATATCTTTAACCCTATTCCCGCTGGGGGGGGGGGGGTCAATTTGACCCCCCCTGTAGTTTTTTTTACATAACTAAAAAAGTATTGGTCTGAGGCTGTTGAAATTTTCTGACTTTTCTTACATACCCAAAGCCCTCCCTTTAGGCCTAAAAACGGGCTTTAATACTAACTGCCTGAGTCCTCAGGCACACTGCCTGAATGACTGCTTTTGCCTGTAACAAACTAAATCTTTGTTTTGACCCATTTTCACTTATCAGATTTTGATAAAATTTAGCTTTTTGGAAAGCCTATGACATAAGGAAACGGATTGCACAAGTTTTGCGATAAAAAATTGCAAATTTTTTTGCAAACAACCTGTCAAAGGAAATTTGCACATTTTTAGTTTTTCTTGATTAAAAATCAGGTTATTTAAAATTTTGCAAAAATTTTTGCATATTTGAAATGGCATGGTCAAGGGCTTTTCAAAAATGTATAATTTGTCATTTTTTGGACAAATTTTTTTTTGCAAACATTTTACTATAAAACTGGATTTTGCGATAAAAAATTCAATTTTCGCAAATTTGCAATTTTTTTTGCAGATTCTAAAAGTAGAGCACAAGAGCTTTCTAATGATGTATCATTTGTCATATTTGGACATAAAACATGGGATTTAGAGGGGGGGGGTCAAATTGACCCCCCCCCAGCGTATCCTGGTTTTCAAGTACCCCAGCAGGGATAGGGTTAAAGCCCAATGTCGTAAACCTTTGACATTTCAAACTATGACTTTTGTTAGATCAAAAAATATAAATTTGAAATATCAAAGGTTTACGACATTGGGCTTCAAAGATATTGGGGATAGAAAATCATAGTTTGTGGCAAAGACTCAATTCCTTTGTAATTTCTTAAAAATTAACACACATACCTTTTATGCCACTGCATCACGTGTATATAAAATAAAAAAATATTTGCATCAAATCACATCTTTAAAACTGTGTGAAAATATAAGGTTGGAAGCGACTTTTTTATTTAAGTTTAATTGTTAACAAGCTTTTTTTCGAATTTCAAGTTTACAAGAATCAAAGAGAAGCTTTTTTAATTTTTAAATTCTGTTGACTTCTATGTTTTTGTGTATCCATGCTGTTTAATAGAGTAATTTAAATCAAAATTCAATTCTAAAATCGTCTTCATTGTATTGATATAATCGCTTACCACTGCAGATAAAAATTTCAGGATATTATCTTTACTGAACTAAACCAACATTATATATATGTGAAGAATAACACTGGATTATTGTAATGTTTCAAGAATACAACACTTCCATTATATATATATGAAGAATATATACACTGGATTATACTGTTTGAATACACAAAAAATATTTACATAATAATGAAAAAACTTGGCCATCTTCTATTTCCACTTTTAATTTTGCTTAATCTTTCATCCGTTTCTCTTCGATAACACAATAATAAAACCATAAATAAACCTTCCCACACACACCTTCCCGATCGGTTCAGCCGTTTTGACGTTTATCGGTCACAATCAAACAAACAAACAGATAAAGCAAGTATATACATTTATAGATTTCAGAAATGGAAATGTTAAATCAAGCAAAAGTGAGTTTAGGGATTTTATCGTTTTTATAATAAAATTTACTCTCTACTTTTTTAATCCCTATATGTTTGCAAATTGATGGGGAACATTTAAGCGATTTCTTAAACTTTGACTATTTGCTTTGTCATTAGGTTGAAAAGATATAAAAATTAGAGTTTGAGGCAAGTTGGCAGTGTTTTTCCTCTAATCATGTCTTTTTCTAAATAAACGAAATAATTTTGCTTTTTGGAGAAAAATCAAGATTAAAAGTTAAAGTCATTCAAAGAATGTGATTTATTTAAGAAGTAAAAATAATTATATTAATAACTCTGTTTAGTCATTGTTAGGATGACCCATGTATAGTATACTGCAAAATATTTGTAATTTAAAGTAGAATTCTGGGGTTAAGCATAAATATCGTACATTGCAAGGGCGTATACAGAGGGGGGCAAGGGGGCAGTGCCCAGCCCCTAGACCTTTCACACTTTTCAAATCTTAAATTCGAGAGTAAAGAACATAAAAAAATAGTTTTCTGTTCATTCAGTGCACTGAGAAGATTGTATTAGTGGACCAAACTAGCTGAAGTGTCAGGCGTTGCCCGTGGAATTTTAAAAATCGAAATAAAACAAAAAACTTATAATTTATTTAGTTTATGACATCCCTATTCCCTATCCATGAGTTTCCTTACTAAAATTCAGCCTATTTGATTAAGCCGTTTGGCCAGCCATAGCAAACATATAAATGAACGAAGAGCTTTATGACATAAATTACAATGGCACTCGACTTTTTTTAAAAACAGAAACTTTTACAGGTCATATTCTGGACCTCTGTCCTTTTTTCATCTCATAGAATTCAAGTTTTAGAAAGATTTTTAATTTTCAAAAATGTCTTTTACTATCTCTAGTTTAAATACTAATTATTACTAACATAACAGCATAATAAAGTCGATTTTTTATGAACAATTTTTTATTCTTCTAGTTTTGTTTAAAGGAGAGATTAAGTATAGTACATGAAAGGTAATTTGACTGTACATGTGTACCTTTAAAGTATCTTATACTTATGCCTGATATCCAAGAAGCCAAATGTTTTGAATTTACAGTTCAAATTTTGCCCTCACCCCCGGNGAGGGGGGGGGGGGGCAAAAAAAATTTCGCCCCCACCCTAGAATTATTTCGATATACGCCCTTGGTACATTGTAAAAAATAAATGCAAAATAAGGGATAAATAAATAAATAAATAAAAACTTAAATGTGATTTATTTCAAAATTAAGTATTTCCATTGTAATGAGTCTGTTAAATAATTGCTATGTTAATAGGATGACTTGTAATTGTTGTACACTCTTAAATATTTTGTAATTTAAAGTAGAATTCTGCTAAAATTGGGTTTTAGCATAAACATCGTAAATTGCAAAAAGTAAATGCAAAATAAGGGAAATGTTCAGTCTTGAATACAAAGATAATATATTCACACAATAAACATTTAGTTTCTATTCTCTTTAAATACCGGTATTCACATATATTTAAATAATTTTCCATAACTGCAAGATTCCATAGTTTTAATATCCTTTAATTTCAAGATGGCGCCTGAGTATATTTCCTACCCTGGCGACGGATTCTGGAACTTACGAATGTCAGATCAGCACAGAACCAAAGCGCAGCAAATTGTTTGTTCTCAAGACAACAGGTTAATATCATTATCTAAAAATTGTACAATTTATACAATATTTTATATTAATATTTTATATACAGGGTGAGTAAAAAAGTGTGATTTGAGTCGCCTGGTACAAAATTTTACCTTTTTTGTGCAACTCTCCTGTATCGTGTTTTTTCAATATTTTTTTGAAAATTTGTAAAATTTTTTTGGTACTCCAATGACCCAAAAAAATCCGCGAACCTTTTTTATCTCAAAATCAAAAGTTCAGAAAAGCAAAAATGTGTATATAAATTATTTCTTTCGAAATCTAAAATTTTATAAAGATTAAACCAAAGAATCACAGAATATTCGCAAATTGTAATAAGAAAATTCGCAGTTTTTAGTTCTGGTTGGATTATTAAGGAAAAGTTATTTAAATTCTCTAGTTCCTTTCTTCTTAGTATATTCTGAAGTATCAAATATACGCTGTTCAGTTGAAACCTTAAAAACCATTGAAAAAAAAATTTTCTTATTACAATTTTGCAAATTTTCTGGGATTCTGTGATTCAATCTTTTTCAACTTTTAGATTTTAATAGAAACAATTTATTTACACTTTTTTGTTTTTCTGAACTTTTGATTTTGAAAGAAAAAAGATTTGCGGATTTTTTTTGGGGCCATATTGAAGTACCAAAAAAAAATTTTTCAAAAAATATTTTATTATTTAGTAGTGTGGAAAATTAGTTTTCAATTGCCATGGCTCCGTAGACAACCCTTGGTCACTGGTCAAACCTTGCAATGAATGTTTAGAGATTATTTTTCACCAAAGCAAAATATGGGTTTCTTATTTTTTTTTAACTTGAGCGGTCTAAAAAGTTCAAGCCTATTCTCACTTAAATTACAAATAAAATAATCCAAATATGATCAGTTGGTTTAAAAGAAGCTTAAAATTTGTAATATACAATGTATAAAAAGAATATAAGGGACGGGATCCAAGGGGTAATTATTATTCATGGCTCCAATTTATAATATAAAGAAACTCTTTGCCAAAACCTATTTTCATCCAATTGTATAACAAGATTATATCTTGTGCTGTACTGTTTAGATGCTCGGAGCTGGATCCTGGGCGGGACTGAAGTACTGCTCCGTGAGGGCGGAGCAATAAACCTGACCTGTCAGGTTGAGGGACATATCCGTCCTGCGGAGTATATTCACTGGTTCCGGGGTTCTGATCTTCTCAACCAGTCTCCTAGAGGAGGGATAGCTATAAATTCAGATAAGGTTCGGAGTCTCCCTCAGGAGTTCATATATCAACCTTTATCATTGATAAATCAAATTTAGAAAAGAATTTATTATTCTTAAAATTAAACAAAACTTAAGCTTAAGGTTTTGTCTCTCTGGATTGTAAAAAGAATTGCAATCCTTGATGATAAATAATGGGACTCATTTTTCCTTCCTTCTATTTGCAACAGGAAAGTTTTAGTATATTCATTACATTATACACTACAAGATACACTGCAGTGTACATACATTATGCTATTTAGGGACAAGGATCGAGTAATCCAGTGATCCATAAATCCCTGCTGAAGGATTATACTATTTAGGGATAAGGATCGAGTAATCCAGTGATCCATAAATCCCTACTGAAGGATTATACTATTTAGAGTTAAGGATTGAGTAATATTTTGATCCATTAATCTCTATTAAAGGATTATACTGTTTAGGGTCGAGGATTGAGTAATCTAGTGATCCATAAATCCCTATTGAAGGATTCAGGAAACTATACCTGCTCCCCCAGCAACTCCCTTCCTACAACAGTTCAAGTTCACGTTCTTACAAGTAGGTTTAACAGAATACAGGACACAAGACAAGTAGGTTTAACAGAATAGAGAACACAAGACAAGTAGGTTTAACAGAATAGAGGACACAAGACATTTTTGAAAATTTTCTTTAATGCGACTTTATTAGATTGATTCGTGAATAATTATAAAGTAGAAATATAAAGTAAATACTCCATACAAGTCAATGTTTGATCAGAAAAATGCACTTGAAGAAGATTATTTGCATAAAGTATAGAAATATAAAACACTTTTTTTTAACTGAAACAAATCAGATTTACAAGATCAAAGTGTTTCAAACCTTTGCTTTAAAAAAGGTTATAAACCTCGCTCTGTATAACTACATATAAGACCAAGTTATAAACCTCTGTATAAAACCAGGTAATAACTAATAAACCTCTGTATAAAACCAGGTTATAAACCTCTGTATAAAACCAGGTTATAAACCTCTGTATAAAACCAGGTAATAAACCTCTGTATAAAACCAGGTAATAAACCATCTGTATAAGACCATATTCTAAACCTTTGTGTAAGATGTAGGTTCTAAACCTTTTTTATAAGAAGACAAACTTCTATAATTTGCAGAATTAGGTTCCTGCCAAAGATTTCTAACAGAGGGGAGTGAAGTAAAAAACATATTCTTACCTTATCCTGGTTCTCCTGGTTTACTTGATTCTAAAGATGTTCGACTTTCTTTTCTTTTCTTTTTCTTGGTTCTCCTGTTTCTCTTGTTTGTCCTGTTTTTCTTTGTTCTCATTTTTCTCTTGTTTCTTCTGTTTCTCTTGGTTCGCCTGTTTCTCTTGGTTCTCCTGTTGCTCTTGGTTTTCCTGTTTCTCTTGATTTTCCTGTTTCTCTTGGTCTCCTTTACTCTTGGTTTTCCTGTTTCTCCTTGGTTCTCCTGTTTTCCTTGGTTCTTCGGTTTCCCTTGGTTCTCATGTTTCTCATGATTCTCCTGTTTCTTTTGGATCTCCTATTTCTCTTGGTTCTCCGGTTTCTCTTGGTTCTCCTGTTTCTCTTGGTTCTCCTGTTCCTTTTGGTTCTTCTGATTTTCTTTCTTCTCTTGGTTCTCCTGTTTCTCTTGGTTCTCCTGTTTCTCTTGGTTCTCCTTGTTCCCTTGGTTCTCCTGTTTCTCTTGATTCTACTGGTTTTCCTGTTTCTCTTGGTTCTGCTGGTTCTCCTATCTTGTTCTCTTGGTTCCATCAGGTCTACAAGCTGGTTCTTTTGGTTTTACTAGCTGGTCTCTATGTTCTTCTTACTGTTTCTGTTGGTTCCATTGGTTTTCCAGGTGTTCTTATTTCTTCTTATCTCTTGGTTCTCCTGGTTAACTTAATTAACTTGGTTTTTCAATTTATCTTGTCATTCTTGGTTATCCTAGTTCTCTTGATTCTACTAGTTCTACTATATGGTTCTCTGGTTCTACAAGGTGGTTCTCTTAGTTCTTTAAACTTAATCTCTTGGTTCTCCTGATTTTCTTGATTCTACTAGTTCTACTATGTGGTTCTCTGGTTCTACAAGGTGGTTCTCTTGGTTCTCCTGATTTTCTTGATTCTACTTCTATCAATGGGTCTATGGTTCTCTTGGTTCTTTAAACTTAATCTCTTGGTTCTCCTGATTTTCTTGATTCTACTAGTTCTACTATGTGGTTCTCTGGTTCTACAAGGTGGTTCTCTTGGTTCTCCTGATTTTCTTGATTCTACTGGTTCTATCAATGGGTCTATGGTTCTCTTGGTTCTTTAAACTTAATCTCTTGGTTCTCCTGGTTTTCTTGATTCTACTAGTTCTACTATGTGGTTCTCTGGTTCTACAAGGTGGTTTTCTTGGTTCTTTAAATTTAATCTCTTGGTTCTCCTGGTTTTCTTGATTCTACTAGTTCTACTATGTGGTTCTCTGGTTCTACAAGGTGGTTCTCTGGTTCTACCAGGTGGTTCATGGTTCTACTAAGTGGTTCTCTCGGTTCTTTATACTCATTCTCTTGGTTCTCCTGGTTTTCTTGGTTGATTTAATGTTTTATTTCCAAGATAAAGTATCAAACCATTTATAAGTAAGAGAAGGGAAATAGACGAGGGAATTAAAGGGGTTTCATAACTTTTGTAGAACAAGAGAATGGAATTCTGAACGCTATTCCCTGACATGTTTTTATATCAATATATATACTCAAGTAGGAAGAATAAATATTTCAAAGTATGGCAAAATCTGAAAAAGGAGAAAAACGAGAATTAACAATTTTAAGACGTTGAAATAAATAAGAAGACGTGAGAAATTTGAGAAATGGAATCTCAGTGAGCCTAATGGCTTCATAGCTTGAACAAAATTTAGCTTTACCTTCTAGTTGAGCTTAATGGCTTCATAGCTTGAACAGAGTTTAGCTTTAGCTTGTAGTTGAGCTTAATGGCTTCATAGCTTGAACAGAATTTAGCTTTAGCTTGCAGTTGAGCTTAATGGCTTCATAGCTTCCACAGAATTTAGCTTTAGCTTGCAGTTGAGCNTTACCTTGTAATTGAGCTTAATAGCTTTATAGCTTCCACAGTATTTAGCTTTACCTTGTATTTGAGCTAAATGGCTTCATAGCTTTCACAGAAATGAGATTTACCTTGTAATTTAGCTTACTAAAATATCAAATAGACTTCAATCTATAACAGTTATTAGATGTTTTGAGAAAAATGTCTGGACACATAAAACAAAATATTTGGTAGTACTTTACAGATCTAAATTAGTTTTCTGAAATTGAAAGATAAGACCCAGTATAAAATACATAATGGATAATGATGTTATGTAATGGTGCCAGAAAGACTTAGATTCCGTAGATAAGATATAAACCTAGATTTAGCAGAATTTTGTAGACTTTCATTATATACTTGAAGATATAGGGCAGAGGAGTAAACTATTGGCAAGGACAGTAATTGTTTGTGTTTAGGATGGTTTACGATCCATTGCCATGGTTTAGTAGGGTTTAGGTTAGGAGAGGTTACAGCTCAAAGCTCCTAAACTCAAACATAAAACGATTAAAGGGACTCCAGTCGTTATTTTAACTCTGCATTTATAGATTAGAAACAGACAGGGTTTCAATTGTGGTTTATCTTCGGCGGAAATGACTTGCTCATTTCTTCCGGAGAAAATTATTAAACAATTTTAAACAAGAAAAACGAAAATGTTTTTCACATTGTTAACTTTTCTTTTTTTTGGGGGGGGGGGCTGTCACTTTTGAATTACCAAGGGAAAATGTAGAGCTTTCCAAGATGAAGATTTTGTAAAATATAATAATTCTTTAATTTGTAGAAAAATAAAAATTCAATCTTAACTTTTCAAAGAAATATTGAAAAAAATACAAAAAAACTTAGAATGTATGTATGAAGAATAAAATTATAAATACAAATATCTAACCTTTTTCTTGATTTAGAAACTGACCTGGCAGCTTTCCAGACCGCAGCAGGACTGACAGGAGCTGAACCCAGGACTAATCCTACACCACTAGTCCTTTATCTAGTCCTTTTATCTACTCTAGTCCTGTATTCTGATAACAGGAGCTGAACCCAGGACTAGTCCTACACCACTAGTCCTTTATCTAGTTCTTTTATCTACTCTAGTCCTGTATTCTGATAACAGGAGCTGAACCCAGGACTAGTCCTACACCACTAGTCCTTTTATCTACTCTAGTCCTGTATTCTGATAACAGTTTCAACGAATTAATATTTCTAAACTGATATTTCTATTTTATTTCAAAGTCGTAAAATTTTCAAATAACAGATTTTTATAAGTTTTCAATATTCTTGAAATATCCGATGTCATTATTTTATCTTTTCGTGTAAACCTGACATTTAAATAAACAAGCAATTAAATCCGACTCAGTCTACAATATTAAAATTAATGAATCTGGGGAGCTTCATGTAAACCCTAGCTTTGGAATCCAGCTTCGCCTGGAAACTAAATTTTCCCTCTTAAAGTCAACCTACTCAGTTTATAGAATTGTTAAATCAAGCTAAAATATTCCCTTGGTTCTCCCGAGTTCCCCAGTCAATTCTTGGGGCAAATCAGATAAGCCGTTGATGAGCTATGTTCGAACATACATACCGGATACAAACAAACAGACAGAAAACTACTATTTTACCTAAATAGATTCTTAATGCCATCAGAATATAAAAACTAAGAAGAGGGGAAGGGTTTGTTTACGTTTTAATACGTATTGGGAACTCAAGAACTACAGTGAGAACCAGAAAACTGTGGAATGTGAAGATGAGATTTAATTGGAGCCTAAAAGTAATTTTCCTATTCCAGAGTTTTCTAGTTTTCTGCATGTTATACAGTTTTATTGTATGAACAAAAACAAAGATTGTAAATAAGGCTGAAAGGGACTATAAAGGAAAAATAAAAGGGGTATAGGTTGAAACCTGAGAATATCAGGCGTTAAATGATTCATATAAAACATCTATCTGAGAATCTCAGGAGTTGAACGATACATATAAGACATCTATCCGATGTTCCTGTTTCGAGAAATTGATAAAAAAATTGCCTAGATATGAATTTTTGTATACCAGTTGTAGTATTAACCAGATCATATTCAACAAATTCGCAACCAATCTGAAAACGAAGATATCCCACAGGAGCCTGAGAATCTCAGGTTTATCCCTACTATAATTTTTTAATTTTTATTTTGCATTTTAATAGATATAATTGATAATTTAATACATACAGTCAGTATAGTCAGTATTACGTCTCCAGAACTTCAGCCAATGGCAGTCCAGTATCATTGTCACGTGATACAGATCGAAATCACGTGACTAGTAAACCGCACTGCCAGTTTTCGTTTTCAGATTGGTTGCGTATTTGTTGAATATGATCTGTTTAATACTACAACTTTTATACAAAATCGCATATTTATGAATTTTCGTACAAAGGAACTGAGTTTTTGTCACAAACTCTGATTTTCTTATTCTTATATCTCTGGAACCCGATTTTGTAGACCTTTGATATTTCAAACTATGAATTCTGTTAGGTCACCAAATCTAAGTTTGAAATATCAAAGGTTTGGAGCATAGGGTTCCAAAGATAAAGGGATTAGAAAATCAGAGTTTGTGGTGAAAACTCAGTTACTTTGACACAGTTTTATATCAATTTCTCGAGACAGGAACATCGGATAGATGTCTTATATGTATCGTTCAACTCCTGAGATTCTCAGGTTTCATTCTATACCCAATTTCATTTTTCCTTTACAGTCCCTTTAAGAGAAGGAGGATTACGCTTTCTATTTTTAATGACTTGTGCATATTTAAACAAAATAAAAAATTAAATTATTAGAATATAACTAAATATATTCTGCAGATAAAAATATACAATATAAGATAATTATGTGTAAAATTACTACAGCAAGAAAGCTTGGAAGTTTTGAAATAGTTTATCTAAATCAGTTGATTAAACAAGGTGAATAATTGGTTTAAAAACATGCAATGACTTTTTTATTTATTCATAGAAAATTATAAATGACTTAAAAAATTCATCTAAAATATTCTTTTCTTACCAACAGATCTTATTTAATATATCCTTATAAAATGGAAAAAAAACCTTTTCCCAGTTTATTTGATACTTTACTCATTGTTATGTACCACTTAAACAGTAAACAGTACATGGTAAACTATAATTGTACTGTAATAGTACAACTATTCTGCTGGATTAGCTAATTGAGAATAATCACGAGTCGTTTAACCATATTGTTTGATTTATAAAAATGAGCAAATAAACGTTCAAACTTATTTGTTCCCCAGTCCACTTAATGTTTATTTGTTGATGTTGATTAATGTGATCACGTGATTAAATGATTGGTTGATTGATCAACAACTTAGAATTATTCCACTCACGAACCTTTCAACAAATCATAAACTAGTTATTAATTAGTTCAACTTTTTTTTACGCACAAGGTTGTATATCATATTCTTTATTGAGAAATGATTTTTTCGCTTAAGTATTTATTACTAGCTGGAGGGCCGGCGTTGCCCGTGGAAAAAGTTTTTTTTTTTTAATATTTAGAAAAAAAATATTTAGAAAAATTTCGAATAAAAGAATTTCGATGAGTTTTCACAAAAATTTCAGCCCAATCGGTTCAGCTGTTATGGCCGGCCAAAGGCAACATCTTTATATACGAATGTCTAGTTTTATTATATAGATTAAGAAAATTATATCATTTAAACTTTAAATACAATTAGAACAAATGGAAATTTTAATCACTCTGATATTAAAATTTCCATGGCTTTTACTTTTTCTGGGAGTAAATGTCAATTCTTGGTAAAGAGAGGTTTTTTAACATAGACCTACAATTGTTGCATACCATTAAACCAGATTTTACCCTTAATTATGTTTGAAAGAAACTGGCTATTCCCCTTAGGTTTTCTAATTCTTAAATCTCTGCATCCTGATTTCGTTTACCTTAAATATTTTAAGTTATGGACTATGAATTAGAAAAAAATGTGACAAGTAATTAGTTCCTCTATTGTCAATTCATGAATTTTAGAGAAAAAAAATACATAGAGATTCAACTTGAAAATATTTTTGTTCTAACCCTAATTCTACATTAGCATTTCAATAATATAAAATCATCCTTATCTCATAAAAACAATCTCATCTAAGTTCATAAAATGATACAAAGAGAAACAAACAATTCCAATTTTCTATAGTTAGGACAATTAGATATTAAAAGGAATTGAGTCTTTGCCACAAACTCTGATTTCCCAACCCCTTTATCTTCGTAACCCATTGTCGGCGACATAAGATATTTTAAACTATGATTTCTGTTTAAAATATCACAGGTTTACACTATCAGGTTGCAATGATATAAGGATCTGTACATTGGAGTTTCTGGCAAGGACTCAATTTCCTGAAATATTCAATGTAATTCAAGCTCTTTTTTAACCCCTTGGCTTTATCTAATAAACTAATAAAGTTAAAAGCTTGTGATCTCAATGTTGCCATAAACAGTTTTATTTTCTGACACATGTTTTCAGTCTGGTGAATGCGACGCCATCTTGAAACTGATGGAAAGTTTATGAAAGCGTAAAAATATAATAAAATGTTGAATGAAGAAATCTTTACTTACAACTTTACAAGAATATAAAATAAAATATAAAAAGGGCAGCTTACATCTAGGACTTGTCACAGGCCCGTTCATAACGAATAATTTGTTTAGATTAACGGAATATTCCGTTAACAAACGGAACAGACATTTAAGTTATTGGTTTAAAACAAACTGAAGGAACCGTAAATAAAAGAGTACCTAACGGACAATTTTCTGATTGGCATGCCAAAGCCTACCTAAAGTGAACGGTCCATTTAAAAAAAGTGGGAAATGCCCGATTCACAACGGAAAACCTTCTGGCTTGAAATTTAGTTAATTATGATAATATCTTTATTTGAAAAACTAGAAATTAAAATAAACAATTTTCATCATTAAAACCATGAATATTTTGATCATTGGTGTATGATATGAAATTAAGGCTTGGAAAATTTTCTGTAAAACGGATTTTTATAATCAAAGTTCTTTATTAAAAACTAAGGGATTGAAAAAGTGCTCAGCCCTAATCATATCTTACTCTGGGGAGAGATAGCTAGTCTAGTTATGTATTTATAAGTTGTTGTTATTGATGATCCAAACCTCGTAAAGTAAATAAAGGAGTTGTTTACCCGTCTAACTAAGGTAAATTGCATAAAATTAAATTTTTAAATGTTTTCAATCGACACCTCTTATTAAAGAGCTAAATGAGAAGAACAAAAATGTTTAAATTTTTTTGTTTATTTTTAGCAGGATAAATTAGTTCATACTTGTGCATAAAATCAATACTAGAAGTGCTACGAGGTTACAAAGTAGTACCAATAATGTTGTAAAAATTTGACTTTTTCTTTCGTTTCTTCAGATTTGTTTCTGGCATGAAGATTTAAAAAGATTTAAAAAGATGACACAAAAAGAATTAGATTCTAGAGATGACCCAAAATTTGTTTTTAATGCTGTTGTAAAATGCTGTTGGGTAAAATCTATTTTAACCTGACGCCAAGTTCAGAGGCCCGAAAGAAATCGGGATTTCCAACGGACAATTCACCTGGTATTTTGGGGAAAATAGGGATTCCCGACCCAGGTTAGCAGGTCAACCTGGACAGAAACAAGAGTAAGTCGGCGATGATCTACAGTACCAGGAGGAGGAGAACAATACTGGTTTTCTGTTAGATAGTCTCGTAGCTCAATTCACTGCAATATACCCAATAATCGTTTGATATCAATTTTCGTTTAAATAAAGTATTTGTCTCGTGAATCGTTTAATTTTTGGGTTTGTGTGAACTATTAGTAGTTTGGTACACTATTTCCAAGGTAAGGAGTCGTCTCTGAAGTCTCATTCTTTGTGGGTAGATCTGGATGTAAACCAAGATATATAACTGTACCGCGGTGTAGAGGGATAGAGTGCAAGGAATACAAAATAAGAGAATCACTGCAGCAGATTCACAATTGCACAATTGTCAAACCAAATTCAAACTTTGTTATTGTTATTGTTTAAAAGAGTTGTTTAGTTAAGTTTAGTTTAGCGATAGAACACCTCCTGATCACAGTCTTTAATAATTTTATTAATAATTTTCTCTTAAATCAATTGATAGATGGATAGATAAAGATGTATAATGATGGCAGGATCGACAGATGGATAGATAGATATATGGATATATAGATAGATTGATAGCTAAGGATAGAGGGATTGATGGTTGATGGAAGGAAAGATAGATAGAGAGATGGATAGCTAGCTGTATAGAGAGATATGGCTGAACTGTGGAAACCTGCAAAAAGTCTGGCAGTATAGACCTTGTATAGACCACTGC